AGTAGTATTGGAGCCTGGATAGGAGGAAGGGTAGGGTGCAAAGTATCACTATGGGAGCTGGCACAGTGGCACAGCGGGCAGAGCCACCACCTGTCAGTGCCAGCATCCCATATGGGCATCAGTTCAAGTCCTGGCTGCTCCACTTCTGATCTAGCTCTCTGCTATGGCCTGGGAAAGCAATGGAAGATGGCCCAACTCCTTGGGCCCCTGCACCCATGTGGGAGACCTAAAAGAAGCTCCTGGTTCCTGGCTTCAGATAGGCGCAGCTCCAGCTGTTGCAGCCAATTGGGGAGTGAACCAGAGGATGGAAGACCTCCCTCTCTCTCTGCCTCTCATCTCTCTCTGTGTAACTCTTTCAAATAAATCTTTTCTAAAAAAAAAAAAAAAAAATCACTATGTTTCTAAATCTGTATATATGAAATACAACAAATTTATATAAATTAAAATTTAAAAATTAAAATTTTTTTTTAAATTTTAAAAAAGAGTTTTGCAGAGGCCAGAGTTGTGGTACAGCAAGTTAAACCATCACTTGTGATGTTGGCATCCCACCTAAGCACCAGTTTGAGTTCTGGCTGCTCCAATTTCACTCCAGTAGGGAAGGCTCCAGAAGATGGCCCAAGTACCTTGGCCCCTGCCAACCCCTTGTGAGGTCTTGATGGAGTTCCAGGCTCCTGGCTCTGGCATCGCCCAACTTAACACAAAAAGTTTTTCAGCATCAACAGAGGGATACAAGATTATCATACTTTCAACTTTAATATACATTAGAAATTTTCTTTAATCAGGGCTGGCATTGTGGCATGGTGGGCTAAGCCTCTGCCTGTGGTACAGCATCCCATATGGGCTCCAATCCTAGTCCTGGATGCTCCTCTTCTGATCCAGCTTTCTGCTATGGCCTGGGAAAGCAGAAGAAGGCTTAAGTGCTTGGGCCCCTGCGCCTATATGGGAGACCTGGAAGAAGCTCTTGGCTCCTGGCTTCAAAATGGTTCAGCTCTGGCACTGTGGCCATTTGGGGACTGAACCAGTGGTTGGAAGACCTTTCTCCCTCTCTCTGTCTGTAATTTTACCTCAAATAAATAAATAAAAAAAGAAAAGAAGGGGCTGGCACTGTGGCCCAACGGGTTAACGCCCTGGCCTGAAGCGCTGGCATCCAATATGGGCGCTGGTTCTAGTCCCGGCTGTCCTCTTCCAATCCAGCTCTCTGCTATGGCCTGGGTAAGCAGTAGAAGATGGCCCAAGTCCTTGGGCCCCTGCACCCGCATGGGAGACCAGGAAGAAGCTTCTGGCTCCTGGCTTCGGATCAGCACAGCTCTGGCTGTTGCGGCCATCTGGGGAGTGAACCATCGGATAGAAGACCTCTCTCTGCCTCTCTCTGGGTTCGAGTCCTGGTGACATTCTTGATTCCAGCTTCCTGCTAATGAGCATATGAGGAGGCAACAAATGATGACTAAAGTTCTTGTGCCCCTGCCCCTTACATGGGACACCTGGCTTGAGTTCTAGTCTCCTGGCTTCGGCCTTGTCCAGCCCTGGTTGTTGCAAGCATTAGGGGAGTAAACCTACACATGGAAGATCTCTGTCTCTGTCTCTGCCTCTCAAATAAAATTAAAATACATAAATAAATAAGTATAAATGCACATACAGAAAAGACATTGGGGTAAAAGTAAAAAAAACTAAATATGAGCATATTATGGAATTGTTAATTTTCACAAATTTGATAATGGTATGTCAGGTAACAAAATATCCTTATTCTTAGGAGAAGCATACTGAATTAGGTATCATTGTCATGATGTCTGCAACTTACTTTCATGTAAATCAGCCAAAATATATTCATACATACACACACACACACACACACACACATAATTATAGGTATATATATGAGAAAAAGATAAAAGAAATATTAAGAATTTTTGAGTCCAGCTAGAGGGATAACAGGGTTATACCACACTTTCAACTTTAATACAGTTTTGAAATGTTTCTTTAATTAAACAAAGTCCTGGGATGGGCATTCATCTCATATCAGTTTGCCTGGGTCTGAGTCCCAGCTCCTCTGCCAATTCCAGCTTCCTGTCAAAGTGCACCATGGAAGGCAGCAGGTAATATCTCAAATAGTTGAGTCCTCGCCACCTATATGGGAAATAAAGACTGAGTTCCCTTCACTCCTGGCTTCAGCCTGGCCCATTCCTGGCTACTGTGGTCATATGGGCAATGAATCAGCAAACAGGAGATCGCTCTCTCTCTTTCCCTCCTTGTCTATCATATAAATGCAAATAAATAAATAAATATTTCTTTAAAACAAAGGGAAGCTCAGAAAGCAAGCTGTTGTCCTAGCAATTAAGATGTCAATTAAGATACCCACATACTGGGGCCAAAGCAGTGGTACAGTGGATAAAGCCACTGTCTGTAGCACCAGACTTTCATATGAGCGCCAGTTCTACTCCCGGCTGCTCCTCTTCCAACCCAGCTCCTTGTTAATGTGCCTAGGAAAGCAGCAGAGGATGGCCCAAGTCTCTGGGCCCCCACATTCACATGGGAGACCCGAAAGAAGCTCCTGGCTCCTGGCTTCCAATCGACACAGCTCTGACCATAGCAGCCATTCTGGAAGTGAACCAGGGGATGGAAGACCCACCTCTCTCTCTCTCTCTTTCTCTTTGCCTCTGCCTCTCTGAAACTCTGCCTTTCAAATAAATAAATAAATCTTAAAAAACAAGTTTTATGTCTCTCTGTCATTCTTTCAAATAAACAAATCTTAAAAAAAAAAAAAATGCCCTCAACCCATATGAGAGTGCCTAGATTTGAGACCTCGCTCCATTCCTGACTCTAACTTGCCACTAATAAGTGGTATTGGCTCAAGTGATTGGGTTCCTGCCACTCTTGTGGGAGACTTGCATTGAGTTCCTGGCTCCCAGCCATTGCTGGTAACTGGGGAGTGAATCAGTATTGGGAACTCTGTCTCCTTGCCCCTCAAATAAACAAATTAAAAAAAAATTTTCTACCATAGACTATAAAAATACCACATGTATTTTTTTAAAAGATTTACTTATTTACTTGAAAGTCAGAGTTACACAGAGAGAGAAGGAGAGGCAGAGAGAGAGAGGTCTTCCATCAGCTGGTTCACTCCCCAACTGGCTGCAACGGCCAGAGATGCGCCGATCCGAAGCCAGGAGCCAGGAGCTTCTTCCGGGTCTCCCACATGGGTGCAGGGGCCGAAAGACTTCAGCCATCTTATAATGCTTTCCCAGGCCATAGCAGAGAGCTGGAAAGGAAGTAGAGCAGCCGGGACTCATACCGGCGCTCACATGGGATGCCAGCACTGCAGGCAGAGGCTTTTCCCACTACCCACAGCACCGGCCCCACCATATGTATTTTCCTCTGTTAACTGGATCATTTTACCTTTCATATTCAAATTTTAATCCATCTAAGATCCATCATTGTATATGGAACTAGAAATAAACTCGGTTTTACTTTCTTCTATACAGTAATTCAATTTTCTGAATACAACTTACTGAACAATTTGTCTTTTTCCCATTGACTTATATAAAAATGATTTCCAGTCCTTCTGAAAGAACTAAGCAGAGGAAGAAGAAAGGAATAAAAAGGCAAGAAAAAGAGGAAAAGAAAAAGATGGGCCATCATTATGGTGTAATGGATAAAGGCATTCCATATGGGTGCCAGCTTGAGTCCTGGTTGCTCCACTTCCAATGCAGCTCCCTGCTAATGTGTCTGAGAAAGCAGCAAAGGATGGCCCAAGTCCTTGGACCCCTGCCATCCACGTGGGAGACCTGAAAGAAGCTCTTGGTCTTGGCTTTGACCAGCCCAGCTCTGGCCGTTGAGGCCATTTGGGGAGTAAGCCAGAGGCTGAAAAATCTCTCTGTCTCTCCCTCTCTCTTTGTAAACTGTGCCTTTGAAAGAGAAAAGAGAGAAGAGAGAAGAGAGAAGAGAGAAGAGGGAAGAGGGAAGAGGGAAGAGGGAAGAGGGAAGAGGGAAGAGGGAAGAGGGAAGAGGGAAGAGGGAAGAGGGAAGAGGGAAGAAGGAAGAGGGAAGAGGGAAGAGGGAAGAGGGAAGAGGGAGGGAGAAGAGAGAAGAGAAGAGAAGGAAGAAGGGAGAGAAGGAGGGAAGGAGGGAGAAAGAAAGAAAAGGGGCCGGTGCTGTAGTGTAGTGGGTAAAGCCCCCACCTGAAGTCCCGGTATCCCTTATGTGCACCAGTTTGAGTCCCAGCTGCTCCACTTCCAATCAAGCTCTCGGCTATGGCCTGGGAAAGCAGCAGAAGATGGCCCAAGTCCTTGGGCCCCTGCACCCACGTGGGAGACCCGGAGGAAACTCCTGGCTCCTGGCTTCAGATCGGCATCAGCTCCGACTGTTGCGGCCAACTGGGGAGTGAATCAGCGGATACAAGACCTCTCTCTCTCTCTCTCTCTCTGCCTCTCCTTCTCCCTCTGTGTAACTCTCACTTTCAAATAAATAAATAAATCTTTTAAAAAAAAATCAAGAACATATAGGAAAAGCATTGAGAGATTATTAGTTAAGGGAAGGAAATGAATAAAGGGAGCTATTATCAAAATCTATGCACAAAATCATTTTCACATAAATAAATAACAAAGGATTGCCAAACTTTTTTTTTAATGTGTATGCCCTTAAAACCATTCACTAAATGCCTAGCCTACCTAGCATATAATTGCATAAGGACAAAGTTCACAAGGATTATACTACCTCCCACTAATGGTAAATTGGATTACATTTCACTAGGCATTTACCTGTTTTAAACAGAATAATGATGCAAAGCAGAGACTATTTTATGCTAAAAACTATTTTACAAGCGTTGACATTTCTTCCTGATCATAGGAATTTTTAGGTGACTAGAAATACCTTATTACTTTAATTAATTCAGTATGTAGGCTAGATTTTAGAAACATAATTTATAGAATTCCTAACTATTCACCTCATTACTGACAGTGAGCCAGAAAATATAAACTGTTGTTCATAAGAAAAGTCTAAAAACACACCTTTTATTTTCAGCCAAATTCGCTCCTTCGTCCTTCAGCTGTTTACTTTTCTCAGCACAGCCTTCAAGGAGAACTTCCTTCCGACGTTTAACAGCGTGAAGCCAATTCCCTTCATCACTCTCAGGGACATCCTTCTCATCAGCAGCTTCAGCTTCAAACTGCTGGGAAGTGACCCTGGAGACTTTCTCACCAATTTTCCTCTTCCACCCAAAGGATGCCATCCTGGAAAAATATAAAGCAGCAGCTTTAAAATTCAAACTTGGACTTTCCTACAAATATGACCACCAACAGGTGAATAAGGAAAAGAATATCAGCATTTTTTAATCCCTAACTGGTAGATCTGGGCGATAACCATTGACAGTTACTAACATCACAGAGAAATATGACTGGACATTCTGCCCCACCTCATGAGGGCGGCACACCAACCCATGAAGTACTCTTCTGAAAATTAACATTCAATTAGATCAGGTCTCTACCAGATGATAAGAAATGAAGTAAGCATGCTCTGTAACGCATCAGACACGTAGAGAGAAGGAAATCAAAACTAAAGATAAATAAAACTGGTTTCTTTAAGAAATAAACTGCTAGGAGAAAAATGAGAATTTACTCTTCAATTAAGAGACTTAAGAGACAAACTAACCAAACATGTGTGACTCTTGTTTTACTTCTGACTCAATAAAAAACAACAGGGAGTAAACACCTCAGGAAACAGGAGAAATGAGAACACTATGTATTTGATGATATTAAGGAATCATTGCTTTTTTCTGTCAGAATAGTACTGCGATTTTGTTTATTTTAATAAAACATCTTTAAGAAATACATACTGAAATATTCCATTTGAAATTACATGATACCAGCCGGCGCCGCGGCTCACTAGGCTAATCCTCCGCCTGCGGCACCGGTACTCTGGGTTCTAGTCCCAGTTGGTCCTCTTCCAGTCCAGCTCTCTGCTGTGGCCCGGGAGGGCAGTGGAGGATGGCCCAAGTCCTTGGGTCCTGCACCTGCATGGGAGACCAGGAGGAAGCACCTGGCTGCTGGCTTCAGATCAGCGCAGTGCACCAGCCGTAGCAGCCATTTGGGGGGTGATCTAACGGAAGGAAGACCTTTCTCTCTGACTCTCTCTCTCTTACTGTCTAACTCTGCCTGTCAAAAAAATAAAAATAAATTACATGATACCTATAAATTATTCCAAAGTAATCGGCAGGCATGGAGAGTACAGCGAAGGAAAAGATACAGATGAAATAAGACTGATTTGAAGGGGCTTGCAGTATGGCGCAGCAGTTTAAGCCACTCCTTGTCAACACCAGCATCCCATAAAGGCACCAGTTCAAATGCCAGCTGTTCCACTTCCGATCCAGTCCTCTGCTAATGTGCCTGGGAAAGCAGTGAAGATGCCCCAAGTGCTTGGGCCCCTGCACCCATGTGGGAGACCCAGTGTAAAAGCCACTATGGAAGACAGTTTGGAGATACCTCAGAAATCTGAATGTAGACCTGCCATATGACCTAGCCATCCCACTCCTGGGAATTTACCCAAGGGGAATGAAATCAGCAAATAAAAGGGTTATCTGCACCCCCATGTTTATCGCACTACAATTCAAAATACCTAAGACACGGAATCAACGTAAATGTCTGTCAACTGAAGATTGGATAAAGAAAACTATGGGATATGTACACAATGGAACACTACACAGAGTTTTAAAAAAAATGAAGTCCGGTCATTTACAATAAAATGGATGAATCTGGAAAACTTCATACTTAGTGTAGTAAGTCAGTCCCAAAGGGACAAATAGCATACGTTTTCCCTGATCTGTGATAACTAATAGAGCATTTAAAGAAAATCCATAGAAGTGAAATTGACACTTTGAGAAGCAGTGACTGGAACCCTTGTCACAACTGATAAAGGATTAATATCCAGAATCTAAAAAGATTCAAAAAAAAATCCAGTCAGGTGCCCAAATTCTTAATGAATATGAGGAAAGGCAAATAAAACCACAGCAATCAACAAATATACAGGTTGACAGAGATGAACCAAATGCTTTCCACAGCAGCAGGTATTTTTATTCACTTTTTAAAGTATTTATGTATTTATCTGAAAGGCAGTGTGACAGAGAGAGAGAGAGAGATAAACAGAGATCTTCTATCCACTGGTTTACTCCCTAAATGCTCACAACAGTCAGGTCTGACCCAGGTCTGACCCAGGTCTGGGCCAGGCCCAAGCCAGGAGCCAGTAACTCCATCCTGATCTCCCGAAATATAGGTGGTAGGGACTCAAGTACTTGGATCATCTTTCACAGCCTTCCCAGGAACATTAGCTGGAAGCTGCATCAGAAGCAGTGCAGCCAAGCCTTGAATTGGCACTCCACATGGTGTCCTGGCATAGCCAAGTGCTGGCTTAACCTGCTGTGTCACAATGCCTATGCGCAGGTATTTTTAGAAAACTCTAACAAAGTAACGGATTAGAATCTATACTTGGGGGCTGCCTCTGTGGTGTAGTGGGTTAAGTCCCTGCCACCTGCACTGCCGGCATGCCATGTGGGCACCAGTTCTAGTCCCAGGTGCTCCACTTCCGACCCAGCTCTCTGCTATGACCTGGGAAAGCAGTAGATGGCCTTGGGCCCTTGCACCCACGTGGGAGACCTAGAAGAGGCTCTTGGCTCCTGGCTTTAGATCGGCACAGGTCCAGCTGTTGCAGGCAATTGGAGAGTGAACCAGTGGATGGAAGACCTCTCTCTCCCTCTGCCTCTCCTCTCTCTGTGTAACTCTGACTTTCAAATAAATAAATAAATCTTTTAAAAAAAAGATATCAAGATAAAATAAATCTTATATTTACAATTGTCCCTAAAGAAAACACAAATGATACAGGGTGGCCATGAGACATGAGATACATGCATCCTATTATTATCAGAGCGTTTCTGTTCAAGCCTCAGCTCTGCTTCCAATTCCAGCTTCCTGTTCATGTATACCCTGGGAGCAGCAGGTAACGGCCCAAGTACTTGGTTCCCTGTTACCCAGGAGGGAATCCCAGGTTGTTTCGGGCTCCTGACTTTTGACTGGCTTAGCCTTGGCTGTTGCCAGCATATAGGGAGTGAATCAGCAGATGGAAGCTCTTTTTATGTCTCTTTCTGTTGTTCAAATAAATAATAAACAAATAAAATAAAAATGATGGTTTAATTTTATGGCTTCAAGTTTCCCAATGGAACTTTGCTTCTACATTAGCAATGTGAGGCACCAGGTAGTGTGGGAACCCTATTAACACTAACAGAAACCTGGTGAATTTACTGAAAGCAAATTACATCAGAAATCACTGGTCAGGTGTGTGATTACTAGGAGCAGGGGACAGAGTATGGAAGAAAGGAAAATGTGATCATTCAAACTGTCATGACCTTCCCTGTCTTTGAACTCAAACCTTATTACAAATATAATTGCTTAGGGGCCGGCACTGTGTTTCAGTAGGTTAAGCCTTCACCTGTGGTGCCTGCCTCCCAAATGGACACCAGTTCGTGTCCTGGTTGCTCCTCTCCCAATCCAGCTCTCTGCTTATGGCCTGGGAAAGCAGTGGAAGAACCCAAGTGCTTGGGTCCCTGCACTCACGTGGAGACTGGAAAAAACTCCTGCTCCTGGCTTCGGATCCTCCCAGCTCTGGCCGATGCAGACATCACGTTGCTAGGGAGTGAAGCAGTAGGTGGAAGACATTTCGATTTGTCTCTCCCTCTCTGTCTGTAACTCTGCCTCTCAAATAAATAAGTAAAATCTTTAAAAAAAAAAAAAAATAGTGCCTAGGACAGGTACAGGTTAAGCCCAATATGGTGGTTCTGAACTATGTATGAAAAGGTCTCACACACACTACTGTCTCAGGTTTTTGTGTCATTCTCCCTTACAAATCCCTTGAGATCCTCTAGAAATCAGAGGCTGGCACTCTCAAGACAGAATAAGATTATAAAGGTACAAGAAGACTGACACTAATGGAAAAGTTTCACCTTAAAGTGAGGGGTGAGAAAAGGAGTTAATATCAAGTGAAAAGTGGCCGGCGCCACGGCTCACTTGGCTAATCCTCCACCTGCGATGCCGGCACACCAGGTTCTAGTCCCAGTTGGGGCGCCGGGTACTAGTCTCGGTGGCTCCTCTTCCAGTCCAGCTCTCTGCTGTGGCCCGGGAAGGCAGTGGAGGATGGCCCAAGTGCTTGGGTCCCTGCACATGGGTCCCCTCCCATGCGGAGGGGAGACTGGGAGGGAGCACCCAGCTCTTGGCTTCAGATTGGCGCAGCGCCGGCCGTAGCGGCCATTAGGGGACTGAACTAACGGAAGGAAGACCTTTCTCTCTGTTTCTCTCTCTCACTATCTATAACTCTACCTGTCAAATAAAAAAAAAGTTTAAAAATAAATAAATAAAATTAAAAAAAAAATCAAGTGAAAAGTAAAGGCATGAGGCGGTGTGAAGGGAACCCTGCTTCATATTTCTCAAGGAAATTGGAGGCTAATCATCTTCTCACAGTAAAGCACAAATGCTTCCAAGCACTTGAGAAAAATGAAGAAGATATGAAATAATCACCATAGAAACAAGAAACAGTAGTAAGAAATGAATAAACATATCAAACAGACTCAAGGGCCTACTGAGTCCATAAAGCTTGAAGCTGTTACCGAGGCCATTAGCAGTTTTGTATTTCTTCAAAAGTGTCTGGTGACGCAGGCGGCTAGGCTACCACCTGTGGCACGGGCATGCCATAGCAGAGCCCTGGTTACAGTCGTGAAAGCTCCACTTCAGATCCAGTTCCCTGCTAATGCACCTGGGAACGCAGGGGGAAATGGGCCAAGTACTTGGACTCACGCCACCCACGTAGAAGACCCAAATAAAGGTCCAGGCTCCTGGCTTCTGTGGCCATTTGGGGAATGAATCAGTGAATGAAAGATCTCTTTTTCTGTCTCTCCCCCCATGTCACTCTACCTTTCAAATAAGTAAAATAACTCTTTAAAACAACAAAGTATCTGGAGACCACAGAGTACAGTCAATCACAGTACATAATCAAAGCTGCAAGAGATTAAACAAAGAATGCTATGAGGTCACATAAGCTCATGAAGGACCTGTTTTTAAGACTAAAAGTTAGCCGGTATTAAAGAAGGAGCAAGTCATTGAACATATGCAAAACACTTTCCAATTTGGAAAATTCAACACTCCAGGTTGATTCAGATATTTTAAATGAAGAAGGCAAGTACAAATAGGGAAAGACTATGGTCACTGGATTTTTATGGATAAAAATGTTCTAAAATTTATTGTTTTGATGGTTGCATAACTCTGAGCAACACACATTTCAAAGGGATGAATTGCATTATGTGTGAATCACATATCAATAAAGCCATTTTCATAAAATATGTATATTTAATAGTATAAGTTTACTGTTCTTGTAAGGCCATCTGAACATGAAATTAAAACTTGTAAAGTGGGGCTGGCACTGTGGTGCAGCAGGTTAAAGCCCCAGCCTGCAGTGCTGGCACCCGGTATGTTCGAGTCCTGGCTGCTCCACTCTGATCCAGCTCTCTGCTATGGCCTGGGAAAGCAGTAGAAGATGGCCCAAGTCCTTGGGCCCCTGCACCCACGTGGGACACCCGGAGGGAGCTCCTGGCTCCTGGCTTCAGATCAGCTCAGCTCTGGCCGTTGCAGCCAATTGGGGAGTGAACCAGAGGATGAAAGACCTCTCTCTCTCTCTGACTCTACGTCTCTCTGTAACGCTTTCAAATAAGTAAAATAAACTTTAAAAAAAAAAAACTTATAAAGGAGGTTTACTAAATCTATATTCAAATACGCAAGATGCCAACATCCTGGACTTGATAGTTTTCCACCAGAGTAAGAAACTCCACGGCTAAGTCACAATCACAGATGATTCATGCTACACCCAGCAGCCCAAACTCAACATTCTACATAGAATAATACTTAATGCATGCCATAAAAGTGCGCTAGGACGTTGTATTCTAAAGTCTCGCACAATGATCCCCACAGCAGGCGCTCAGTAACTGACTGCTGACAGCGTGACATTTTCCCCCCTCCGCGCCGCAAGCCAGGGAACCCTTGTCTGAACTGCTCGCGAGAATGCGGCACCTGGGAAGAGAGGCCACTGGTGGAACGTGACCAGGAAATCACACCCCGAAGGGTAACGAGATGTACTCAGAGGTGGGGAATGAAAGAAAATGTCCAGACAAGGTTGCAAGAGAGAAGCCAATAGTAGCGACTCTGCTTTCATTAGCCAACAATCAAAACGTTCCTAATGGCAAAGTTCAGAGGGGCTACCCTGGTCATCACCTGCGAGATCGCCAGACCGACCCCCAGCCCCAGGTCCGTCCACGCTGGGTGGGAAGCCAGCTCTGTTCACTCCTCCCACCGCTCAAGAAAGGTCAAAGCCCCGCGGTCCGCCGCGCGGCGGTGCAGGCGCAGGCCCGACCCCCCGAGGCGCTCCTGTCCCTAGGGACAAGCCTCGGTGTCCCGGCTACGTCAGACTTCCGTCAAGTTTCAATTCTTACTTCTGGCGTTCTTTTTTTCCCTTCCCACAACACCTACTCGCCTCGCTTTCCTCCTCTTGTCCGGCTTCCACCGCGCACCGGTTAGCCTCACACTCCCGTGGTCCAGTGTTTACATTCCGCTTGCCCTTTGACTCCCGGAAGCGGAAGTCACCACGCCCGACCGCCTACCTGCCGGCCTTTCCTCCCTGGTTTTCCTAAGACACGGGTTGGGCCCACCCAGGGGGCATCCAAACACCCGAGAGAAGAGGGTATAAGAGCGACAACTGCAAGCCTTTCCTCATGCGCCAAAGCCTTCTCCAGCACCACAAGTCCCAGTAGCCACTACGGCCTCGCCCCCGCCGCATTACCTTTTGGGACTTGTAGTCAAAGCCGCTGGGCTCGGAGCGCCCTCTAGCAGCCGCTCGAAGCGTCTGGCGCGTGGGAGACCGCAGTGCGCGAGCGCGGGAAAATGGTGCCGCGGCGTCTGACGAGAGACGACAGCCCACACGCTCCCCCCAAGCCGCGCTGTGGGGCGCGGCGCATCGTAAAGCGGGAGGCAGGGGAAAGATGTTGAGGAGCAAAGGGCTCACGTGCGGTCCTGCGCTAAAATAAGTGGACGCTGGAACGGAGGAGACTGGCCAGGCAGAGGACGGAGACGCAAAACTCGACGGAAGAATGTTGAGGGGCGAGGGGCGGGAGGGCTGTGACTGAAACGTTCTTCCCGTGGAAGCGACGTTGGGCCCAGAAGGAGAATTATTGTCTGAAAGTATGTGTGGATCATGTCTCGAAAATAAGTGGGCAAATGTAGCTCAGGTGTGTGTTCAGGAGACTGAAAAAGAGTGTCCGTTTCCCGATACCTCTGTGTTGCGCAAGGAGGAGCACGTTGGGGAGACCGGGCTTTCCCAGCCTCGGCTGAGGGAGGGGGCTGCCCTGGGTCGTGTAGGGTGACTGACTGGCAGCGCGCCCTGGGGTCTACCCGCTAGGCGCCACTGGCGTGCCTGCCGCCCGCACCAGTTCTGGCAATCAAATGGTTTCCCCAGATAGTTACCTAATCTGCCCCTGCATGAGAAAGCCTTGCCGCCCACCGCGCCGGTCAGAATCGAGTGCAAACCCTGATCCTCAGAGGCGACGAACATACTAATATGAAGACGTCATTTGCCCTTTTCACCTCGTTGATATGCCTGTGCGCTGAGGGTGAGAACTGACCGATGGTTGGTTAAAACCGCTGGCAGCTCAGCGCCGGGTCCTGACTCCAAAGCGTACAGCAGGCGTTGTGTGCTTGGTTGGCCACGACTAGCTCATAGTGAGAAAACACGTGCTGTCCTTGATGCAGTATATCGGGGTGCCTGCTTCAAGTCCCTGCGAGGCGTCTTCTCCAGCTTCCTGTTAATGCCCACCCTGGCAGGCAGCAGGTGGTGGCTCAAGTGCTTGGGTCCCTGCCACCCCCGTGGGGACACCCAGATGCAGATCCTGGTTCCTGGCTTTGGCCTGGCCCAGCCCTGGCTTGTTGGGGGCATTTGGAGAGTGAACCAGTGGAAGGAAGATATTTCTGCCACTCTTCCAAGTGGATGTAAATATACATTTTAAAAAATAATGTAAGGCCGGCGCCACGGCTCAATAGGCTAATCCTCCACCTTGCGGCGCCGGCACACAGGGTTCTAGTCCCGGTTGGGGCGCCGGGTTCTTTCCTGGTTGCCCTTCTTCCAGGCCTGCTCTCTGCTGTGGCCAGGGAGTGCAGTGGAGGATGGCCGAAGTGCTTGGGCCCTGCACCCCATGGGAGACCAGGAGAAGCACCTGGCTCCTGCCATCCGATCAGCGCGGGTGGCCATTGGAGGGTGAACCAACGGCAAAGGAAGACCTTTCTCTCTGTCTCTCTCTCTCACTATCCACTCTGCCTGTCAAAAAATAAATAAATAATTTGAAACTTTAGAAATCATTTTTTTTCTATTTGATGCGGTAAAATTTTTTATTGAAACTTCTGATTGAGGACTCGGCTTTTACAAATGAAATTATGATGCGTCAAGGAAAAACAGTAGTATTATAAACTGATTTATATATATTTTCCTCACAGAACACAACTTTTATTTAAAAGAACAACTGATAGAGTGGCTTCTCAACCTGGTGCATTTAAGAGACCTTTCTTGAAAATCTACAAAAGGAGCTTGTTACTTCAAGAAAAACAAGTTGTATCCAGCTTTGTGGCATAGTGAGTTAAGCCACCATCTGCAATGCCTGCATCCCATATGGACAATTGTTCAAGTCCCAGCTGCTCCACTTTTGATCCCGCTCTTTGCTAATGTGCCTTGGAAAGCAGCAGATGGGAGTACTTGGGCCCCTGCCACCTACGTGGGAGACCTGGATGAAGCTCCTGGCTCTTGGCTTCAGCTTGGCACAGCCCTGACCATTGCAGCAGTTTGGGGGATGAACCAGCTAGCAAAAGATCTATCTCTACGTTTTAAATAAAACGAAAGAAAGAGCAAGAACAAGGGCGGGGCGGGGGAGGAAACGGAAAAGGAAATGGAGGAAAGTTAGTGTTGCCAACCAAGATTTTAAGCAAAAATTATGATTTTGGAAAAACTGTCTTTGCCATGACTTCAACAGTTTACCAATCCTCAGTTTCTGGTAAGATTAGTGGTGACCTCTATTAAAGTCTATCAAAAAAATCTAACTCCCTATGAATAATTCTACTTTATGGTTACATACATAGTGCTTAGTTCATACTAGCCATGAGGGGATGTAGTTTGTAAATAATCAAATGGTGCTTGAGGTTATGCCGCTTTCTAGGGGTCTTTCCCAAATCTCCCAGGTAACTTAACCTTTATCTACATTACTCTGGTAAAGGCTACCTCCCACTAAATTTTTACACTTCACCACCATTTCTCTAATTTAATTACTTTGGTCCATGATCTTGATTCACCCACCTATTGATTTATTTAAAGCATTGACTATGCCCTCTTTTTCTAGACAACATCATAACCTTCCAAGTTGCTAAAAACCCTCAATTTATCACAGTTAACTTTATTGGCATTTACAATAAATAAAAGTTTATTTACAGTAAATACAACAGTCCAATAAATATTGACTTTTCAAATTTCTTGTACAATTTTGTAGTCAGGATAGATGCCTAGAACAATTTAGTTAAAATTCCCTAAAATATTCACTTTATATGCTATTCATAACATTCTTTGGTACTGTTTTCATTTGCTACTTTAAGGAAAGAATGCCAGCAATCTAGCACAAACCCTCCCTAACAAAGCCATAAGGATACAAAATTTAGTCCTAATTGAATTCTAACAATAGTGTGATTCTAACCAAATCCAATATTAACTGATATATGGCAGTTGCTTTGGATTTTACTGTGATTACCTTAATACTCCCTTTAGGTGGTTGATTCTTAGGTGAAATCAAAACTAATTCAGCTGAGACAAAAATCACAATCTTTAAATTCTAAAATTTGACTAAGTGCTGTGTTTTATACCTAAGTTCATTGTTAAGGAAAACACACATGTATTCAGCCATGAGCAAGCTTTTTTCCCCCATATAATTTTTCCAGAAGGTAAAAAAGACATAACAGATGAAAAATGAAGTTCATCTTTATTATACCATCTAAGTCAAGGTACTTGAAATTGTATACTCCAATCAAAACATAAACCACAAAGATTGATTTCTACCCTTCTTACAGTTTAGTTATGTTGAATGTGGAACTTCATTCATCGTGTCAGAACTCACAATGAAAATGAGATTTCTGTTGTGGTTGGGAAGATGGGGGAAAGAGTTAAGGAAAAAAAGATTTAGACAACACACTTTTTTTTTTTTTTTCATTCCAAAGGGGCCAGTGGGAACAGAGATGCATGGGGTTCATCTAGCCACAGGCCACAGAACATTAATCAGTGCAAATGGTATTACTGCAAGATCAAAAAGAGCAGTGTAAGGATGGGTGGGAAGAATTTTGTATAAAATTATCTAAAACTCTGAAAAAGTATAAAAGCATCTTAAGAAAATGATATAATCAACATAAAAGCAATGGAATTTGTTTCAGTGAAATTATTTTAAATTAGATATGATATATAAGCTCCCATATGCCCCAACCTGGTAGAAAAGTTCCTTTCAGTGAGAAATCAATTTTAATGGCAAAATTTTTACATATCAGTAAAATCTGTTATATTTAAAACTATGTATACAGTACATTTCTGGCAAGAACCTCATATATCTTTCAGTTGTCAAGACAAAGTAAAAATATGGTTGCATAAAATCACAAAAAATATAAATTGCCTGAAAAAATAAAAAAGATTAAAAATCATCTGCATTGACTCCCTTTACATCTTCAAAATTAGTAAGAATTTGCAAACTACAATAAATTTGTGAAAATTCTATTTCAATCTTGACACGCTTAACCAAACATTGTCATTTCAAATATCCTAGCTTAAAAAAGAATTTACTGCAATAGTCTGTGCATTTTTTATACTATTTGTACAAGTGCAATATTTAAATATTCAAAATAAAACTCAGTAACTAAAAGTAATCACAATAACTTATAAAAGAAGCAAAGTTTACAAAATTAACAATTTTTAGAAGTTCCTATTTAACTCATTCCTCTTTATATACCCACCCTCCCCACAACAGCTTACAGACATTACTTAGTTCTATATACAATTCTGTAACTTTAAAAATACAGTCTTCTGTTGTTAATATCAGGAACATAATGCTGCATTTTGAGAGCCTAAGTGATATCAATATCCCCAAAACAGAGCTACATACAAGTCATAAATACATTTTTGAACTCATATTTAAAATGGAACTTCTTTCAGTTTAACTAACTTCAAATTCAAAATCGAATACAACAAGCCCTGAAGAAAAAGAAGCAAGAATACTCTTATGAACTCAGTGCATGATTTTAGAGATGCTGGAGTCAAATTTATAACTTCAATAACCACTTATACAAGTTACATGATATTTGAGTACATTAGTATCTGGTTACTTGCCCAGAAGAAATCCTAAAACGCAATGATTCTTTAAAAAGTTCTGTTACAATGGGGAACTGATAAATATCAAAAAGGAATAAATTTCTTGAAGTTTAAATAATAATATAAGGCAAATACGGGTAAATATACATTTTTATTAGCATACACATGATACCATTTTTATCTGAGGCAACTTTTAGTCATCAATTATACCTGTTATATGATGCTATAAACTAAGTGAATAAGAGAAAATATAAATGTAAATCATAGATCTTAGGAAGAATAAACATCAACAGCATAATGCTAATTAAAAAAAAAAAAAACAGGGCAGGCATCTGGCCTAGTGGTTGACACCCGTATCCCATATCTGAGTGCTCCAGTTCAAATCCCCACTCTGCTCCTTTTCCATTTTTCTGCTAATAAAGAACCTGGGAGGCAGAGGGTGATAGCTTAAATAGTTGGTTCCCTGGCACCCATGTGGGAAAACAAACACTAAATTCCTGATTCCACCTGACCAACCCCACTACTGAGGGCATTTGAAGACTGAACCTGTAGACTGAAATTCTCTGCCTTACTGTCTCTGCCTCTCAAAGAAATTTTTAAAAACCTAAAACAAATGTGACCATTTAGAACTGATTTGTTCTACCTTGTATCAATTAATGTTCTATATTACTAAACAGCTATAACCAAATGCAATGTGTAAACTAGCTGGACGCTGGCTTAAAATACCAAGCTATAAAAGAAATCTGGAAGGCTAACGGGGAAATATAAATATGGGTTGAGTTTTAGATGCCATTAAGTAATTACTAAGTTTAATGGTTTTATGGATTTTTAGTAGAATGTCATTATTTTTAGGAGATACTTGAAGTATTTAGAAGTGATAAATGTGTAACATCCCAAAGGTTCAGGGTAAAAAAGTATATAAATACACACATGGATTTGCATACCTATTTGTTACTATACATATATGAGGGAGCTTCAAAAAGTTCATGCAAAACTCACATTCTCTAATTCCCTTTTTCCATAAACTTTCTGAAGCCTTCTCATATAGCTATAAAGAAAGCAAATATGGCAAAACATTAATAACTGTTCGATTTAAGTGGCAGATACAAATGTGATCACCCTACAGTCTTCCAGCTTCTATTTTTTTAAAATGGTCATATTAAAATTGGGGGACAAAAGCCAGATCAAAATATTTAAAAGTTTATGAGAAATAATTTTTCTATGCATTCAATCAATTTCAAAGCTACATAATCAAATGGCTAGAAATTTTTGCATACATTCAATACTGGCTGACATAACGAGCCAGAGGAATTTGTGAAATTGGCAAAAACAACATTATTTATTTACAGTATATGCAACCCAGCTCTTGAAAGAAAAAGAGCACTTTATATACAGAATATAGCAGGGCAAATTGTAAGATTAAACATAGTGCCTAGAGTACCTGAATATATAAATTCTTTGTAATTTTGTACTTACCAAGCTAAAGAAAAAATTTAAATTGAGTCTAATATCTGATATGACTTATGACATAGTACAGAATTTTAAAAGGTAAATATGGAAGAAGTTATCCAGATTGTTACTACTTACTGGAAGATACTAGCTATTTAAGAAGTTAGGCTCATTAAACAAAATCACCTATAATGGTCTCTGGGAATTTAGGCAAATATTTATTGAATGAACTTATGAAGTAAATATAACATATAAACATGTAATAACACATGAAGGCCTTTATGGTAAATTAATATTCTGCAAAGTCCTGTGTACACTAAATATAAAATAGCAAAAAATCAAGTGAGCCTGAGACCTATAATTCACTGTGTGTATATTATGCCAGATGCCTAACGAACAATAAACAACAAAATTATCTTAATTCATTTCTGCACATTAGGCTTTAAACTATTAATCATGTTCCGATCCCTGTGCAAATTGCATTCTAAAAGGCTAATCCTCAGAATTATGTATAACTTGATTGCAAATGGAAGCATTTGGCTGTTATTTATTATGCATGCTTATTGCTATCAAAGAAATAAGCAAAGTTTTAGATTCACTGTGCAAGTATTTTGATTAGATTTGCACACATCTCAAAAAACTCTATTGTGTGACTCCCAGGTCTTGGAGTTAAGTCAACAGTAGAAGAGTCAAGTGAGGTCACAGATGAGGTAAGAGAAACTTCTGAGGATTTTCCTTGAGCCTCGGCATCTGAATCATTCCGTTGGCAAGGTCGATAGTTGCTAATTGATCCCGATCTCTGTGGAGTAGCTGTCCCTGATTTGGCTTCTGTAATTTCATCTGAGTAAAAAAAAAATTTCAATTTATTATAATCAATGACCTCCCCTCAAAGTTTCTTAACAGTATAGATTTGCTTCTTTAAAACTACTAACCAGCTATTAAGAACATGTTTAATAACTCCTAAAATATAGGCCATGAGCCTATGTTAAACCATTCACCTTTTTTATATGTAGCATATATGTGTATTCTTTTGATGAATACAGTATATAACTACTTAGCAGCCTTACAAAGATTAAAATTCTAGGGCACTAACAACCTGGGTTTTAATAAACATCATGCTCTAACAATAAAAATTAATCTTTCTGTTTCAAAATCATATAACCAATGCACTTAAAACTTGGAAGCTATCTTAGAAATCATCTCATCCAACCACTCATTTTGCTAACACATAAACCCAAAAAAGTTAAATGCTTTGGCTAAAGTAACAAATGAACAGAAAGGTGAAGTCCGGAACCCAAGTCTCCTAACAGCTCAGTACTTTTTACTCTCTATGTTCTCACAATTGGCAATCTCATAAAACAGCAATTCTAATCAATAAAATCAAAGAAAAGCTATACTTAGGAACACAATACAAAAATAGTAAATAGTCAGTCAATTGGTAAACTCAGGTGCTAATAAACCTAAGACTGGAATTTGTTTTATTCCAAATACACTGAGAAAAATTAAACTCATTCCATATATCAAGCTGGATTAGTATGTGTTAGCAGATAAGCACTATCTAGACATAAAAATAAAGCTGACAGATAGATGTGGCCAGCAGATCAGAACTCAAATCTGTCTTTCTGATAATTTGTAGGTACTATCTTTGAGTTTATAAAGAAGAGAACAATACATAGGTGAACCCATCTATAAATTCCATGCAGTCCTCCACAAACAAAGGTGACATCATTATCTTAATTGACATCAATATCTTAATAACTGACATCATTTGGCCAATAAAAAAATTGCTAATAACTTTGTACTTTTGAAAATAATAACAAATAAAAACTTATATCAAAGTCAAATTTTATTTCTAAGTACAAAATTTTATCTTACACAAAAATAATTTAAAAATCTGGCAGAAAACTATCACTTTAAGATTTTTACCTGAAAATATTTTTAAAAGAATACAGTTTAAGATAAAAGAATAACAAGACTCAAAAAAGAAAAAAAAAAAGATTCACAAAGACACAAGAATTCATTTTTATATTCCTTTACTATTGACTTAGTAGGAATAAGAAAGTTCAAAAGCCAAGTAATAAGGTCTAATATATTATCTACATGGTTTTGTGTGATTTACATACCATCAATACTACGGAAATCCAGTAAGTAAGTTCTACTATCCACTTGGTATAACTGTAGACTCATTTTGGAATATGTGCTAGTCACAGGATTCTTTCTTCGTACACGCAAATAATAGGGGTTAACAACCTAGCATTTGGTATAGAAAAAACAAAGTCAAGTCAATTCTATAAAACATTGTATAGACTACAGGTTTGCCAAGTGTGTTAACAATTAGGTTTCTTTCTTTCTTACCTTCCATTCATAATCTAATTGTTTAATTGCTCTACATACTTCTGCCATGATATCATTTGGTCGACTTTGACTTCTAATTCCCAAATGCCATTTTGCTTTCCTTACACCTTGGTGTTTGGATTTCTGTGGATTTAATTCATCAAGGGTATGGCGTGCCCTTGGTGTTTCAGCAACCAAAAATGGTACTCTTTCAGGATGGGGCCGAGTTAAATGATGATCATCAAGAAAAGAATCAGGTGGGCTTGTTGCCAAGTAGAAATCTTTGGCTTCATTCATTATTCTCCTGTTATCTATTATGAGGTGGTACGCAACTGCCAGCGGGTCCTGATGATTTCTGTTATAAAGGCAGCTGAGAACCTCTTCTTCTGAGCATTCAAACTTTTCACAGACTTCTTTTAAGGCTTCATCATCAATCATGGTTGAACTATATGACGGATCCTCAGGAAAGAGATATTTTGGAAGGTCTTGTTTAAACCATTCATGTTCCCTGAGACAAAACAGCAGGATTGAGGAGAAGAATTTTAAGTAGATCTGAGACTGAAAGTAATAATTTGAGGAATTTAGGGTATATTATGGCATTACCAATTTTTTTAAACGGAGTTTCCTCTTCTAGTTTAATACTTTGAATATATTGAGAGGAATGCTGAAAGCTCCCTCTGATTTTAGGAGGGAGAAAGTATCAGTGAGAAAATAAATGTCTACATTTATATTTATAGCTTTGGAACCAATGACAATGGAAAAGAACAGCTTACTTCCAGCTCAGAAATAGAACCTTGTAGCTTCCCTGTATAATTTATAACATTGGATATGACTTAACAAAAGAATTTAGTAACATGTTAAAAAAACAAGGATTACACTGTATATTCTGTTCTGCAACTTCTTCTTTCACATAACTTACATCTAGTATACTGTTAGATCAGAAAATTTCCAAGTTGCTTTACTACCTGATATCTTTGATGGTGGCCCTCTTCATGGGATCCACCTGCAGCATGTGTTTCAGAAGGCTAATCACCGAAGAATTTAAATACTGAGGAGTATAAAAGATCCCATCACATATCTTCTTAAAAAGAGTTGGCACATGATCATCATCAAATGGAAGAGTTCCACATAATAAAGCATAGAGAATAACACCACTGCTCCATATGTCTACTTCTGGGCCTGCATACAATCTGTAACAAGAAGTACCAACTGGATTAAATGGTCATTAATGATTCAAGAGTCACTGAAGTGGTCAAAAATTAAAATTTGGACATTTCTTAGAGAACAATCAGAATATGGTTTTTATAACTATGGCTGCATGCTACATTCAGGTCTTAATTCTATAAATATTATTTCTGGGAAAACAAAGTCAAGAAGTCTTGTCAATTTCAGACTCTGACTTGAGCTGGTGTTGTGCATAGTAGGCCAAACCGCTGCTTGCAAAGCCTGAATCCCATATCAGAATGCCAGTTTGAGTCCTAGCTGCTCAACTTCCAATCCGCCTCTGTGCTCATGTGCCTAGGAAAGCAGCAGAGGATGACCCAAATATTTGGGCCCCTGCCACCCATATGGAAGACCCAGATGGAGTTCCTGGTTTCTGGCTCCTGGCTTCAGTATGGCCCAGCCCTGGTTGTTGTGACCATTTAGGGAGTGAACCAGTGGATGGAAAACATGTCTCGGGGCTGGAGCTGTGGTACAGTGGGTTAAAGCCCTGGCCTAAAACACTGGCATCCCACATGGGTGCCGGTTCTAGTCCCGGCTGCTCCTCTTCCAATCCAGCTCTCTGCTATGGCCTGGGAAAGCAGTAGAAGATGGCCCAAGACCTTGGGCCCCTGCACCCACATGGGAGACCCGGAAGAGCTCCTGGCTCCTGGCTTTGGATTGGCTCAGCACCAGCCATTGCAGCCATCTGGGGAGTGAACCAGCGGATGGAAGACCTCTCTCTGTCTCTACCTCTCTGTAACTCTGTCTTTCAAATACATAAAATCTTAAAAAAAAAAAAAAAAAAATCCTGTCCCACTCACCTTCTCACTCCCTCTATCTCTCTGCCTTCCAAATAAGTAAATTAAAAAAAAAAAAAATTGCAGATGTGGCTAAAACCCTGTTCTTGCTATCTTACTGTGGCCCTCAAAGGATACTACCAATAGGGCCAACCCCTGAACAAACATCATTATTGAATTCAAAACCAGTGTTTTTCATTTTAGAGGAAACATTAAGTTCTTTAGTGATGGACTATGAGCTCACTCTCCCCATTAACCTGAGACACCCTACCAAGGTAAAAGGAGCCTGAGGCTGTGGAAGAAAGCCAAGCCAAGTGGTTCACGAAAGATTTTAATCAATTTGCAGTACACCATAAACACTTGCCTTAAGCTGCAGACTAGTTCGATCACCCCCAACTGCCGTAAGATAAAGACTAGTTAGATCCCGCATTCAAAGTCTGGCTTCAGGGAAAGGATTTCATTGAATTAACAAAAAGAGATTGTTGAACTGATCAAGAGATATATTTTTGAGAGTACAAGTTTCTTCAAAGAAAAACCTTATCCAAACTGGGAAAACTAGATATCAGTCAGTCTTTGCTACCACATTTTTTCTTATTTATTTAATCACATAGTCTCTAATATCCAGGACCTAAACTGTTTTGTTTCCAGAAGAATTAAGAAAGACACAAAAAATATAATATAAAAAGAATTGTGGACACTAGATATTAATGATGAAACTTGATTTATCTAAAAATTAGGTATTCTTCTTGCCTTTACACAAATACCAGTTCTTTTGAATACTCTAGGCAAGCAAGCTCATCAAAATAGAAAATGCTAGTGTTTCTGCACTGAGTTAATCAAAATATCAAATAAAGAAAGAAATGTGATTTGGATGAAAAGTTATTAAAAATTATAAAAGCTAGTAAACAAACAAGTTTCTGTGTTTTTAATTTCAGTGATATAGTGAAGAACAAAAGGTTATTCTGAGAAAAATTAAATTTTCTTGTTTTCTAAACTACTTAAAAAGCTGCACTCAAGGCTGGCATTCTGACATATGAGGTTAAGCCGCCGCCTGCAATGCGGGCAACCCATATGGGTTCCAGGTCAAATTCCAGCTTCTCCACTTCCAATCCCACTCCTTGCTAACGTGCCTGGGAAAGCAGCAAAGGATGGCCCAAATCCTCAGGTTCCTGTACCTATGTGGGAGATCTGAAAGAAGCTCCTGGCTCCTGGCTTTGGCCTGGCTCAGCCCTGGCCATTGAAGCCACTTAGGGAGTGAACCAGCATATGGAAGCTATCTCTTTCTCTCTTTCTCTCTTTCTCTCTTTCTCTCTCTCTCTCTCTCTCTCTCTGTAACTTTGCCTTTCAAATAAATAAATCTTGAGAAAAAAAAAAAGCTGTGCTCAAATCTTCATGTTCTCAATGCTGGTGGTTACTAAGTTGGCAGCATAAAATTCTTATATTATTGGTTTCTTGAAAGATTTAGGGAATGAAGATTCAACATAAATGAAGTCTGAAGATTTTATCAGTATTTCAGTTCAATTCTCCAAGATTCTTTCTTATCAGAAAACCTAAAGCCATCTCTTGAAAAAATAAAGCTACACATTATACTTTTAATCTAAGTACACAATAAACCATTCCTAGTTACTGAGTGCTTCTGTGTTACTCAACTTTTCAGTATTTTACCTACTTAAAACTCAGCTAGGGAAAAAATGAAAGTACTTTCATCCACCTACTTTAACATAATGTTGAGCGGCAAACCAACAATCTCCCCTATAAATGGAGTCATTAACTCTCATCCACTTACAATGTTTTATTTTTAAAAAGAATACTCCCGCAGCCAGAACTGTGGTATAGCAGGCTAAGCCTCTGCACTTGTGGTACCAGCATCCCATTGAGGCACTTGTTCGAGTCCTGGCTGCTCCGCTTCCAATACAGCTCTCTGCTATAGCCTGGGAAAGCAGTAGAAGATGGCCCAAGTGCCTGAGCCCCTGAACCCAGGTGGGAGACCTAGAAGAACCTCCTGGCTCCTGGCTTTGATTCAGGCCCAGCTCTGGCCATTGAGGCCATCTGGGGAATGAAGCAGCAGATAGAAGATGTTTCTCTCTGTCTCTCCCTCTCTCTGTAACTCCACCTCTCAAATAAATAAATAAAAATTTAAAAAAAAAATAATACTCCCAGGGGCTAGCACTGTGGCATAGTAGGTTAAGCCTCTGCCTCCCATATGGATGCCAGTTCAAGTCCAGGCTGCTCAACTTCCAATCCAGCTCCCTGCTAATGGCCTGGGAAAGCAGCTGAAGATGGCTCAAGTGCTTGGGCCCCTGCACACATGTGGGAGACTGGGAAGACACTCTTGGCTCCTGGCTTCGGATCAGCCCAGCTCCAGATGTTGAGGCCATCTGGAGAATGAACCAGCAAATGGAAGACGTCTCTGTCTTTCCCTCTCTCTGTAACTCTGCTCTCATATAAACCTTTAAAAAAATGAAAAAATACTCCCAGATAAGAAAATAATGAACTTTATATTTCTTTCATTAGAATTAAATATGACACTACAGACTAACAAAATCTAGGAGAAAAAGACAATTACAAATATATTAGGGGTGGGAGAGTGTCAAATACTACCTTCCAGAAATTACTTCTGGTGCAGCATAGTTGGGTGAGCCACAACTTGTTCTTAAAAATTCACCATCTGACATCATGTTTGAAAGACCTGAAAGTGCACAAAATTAGCTACTCAGGATTTTCCAAGGGCAAAAATAAAAACAAAACCCCATTAAATACAAAGTGAATTTATAAAGGAAAAATAAATTCATTTTTAAGAGTCAAATAATATTTCTTAAGCTGAAATGATGATTTTCTAATACTTAAATATTTGATTTTTTAATATATAATTTTGTTCATATAAGTTCACCTTCTAGCTTCCAAGTTTTTAATAATTCCATCACACTCACCTCCCTTGTTCCCCATATCTGACTCAAAAAACAGGAACTAAGGTTGCTACATTCCCTTCATAAATAACAGTCCCTTTTCAAACAAGTTCTCTAATACTACCAACTTAAATTGTTTACCTACTATCCTAAAACCCAGTTATAGAAACAAAGCTAAGAAAAGAGAATGCTCATTTTCGTATGTTCATAAACAAAACAGAAAGAATACTTCTGAATAATCAATTACATAACATAAAAGTTATCTGGAAAATGCTAGGTATGTTCATGAAAAATATGAACATATGAAACTATAAAAATATCCTTACCAAAATCAGCTATCTTTGCATTCATGTGTGCATCAAGCAGGACATTTTCAGGTTTCAAATCTCTATGGACCACCATATGCCTGTGACAATAATCCACCCCAGAAAGGATTTGTTGAAACAAACGTCGACTTTCTTTCTCATCCAGCTAAGAAAGGAAGAGAAGTATCTTAAAGGTGTGTCTCTCAAAATAAATACTTCTACCTATAAAAGTGTCAAAATGTATGAAATCTTCCAAATGAATTTTACTCATGAGACATTTTTGAAATACAAAGTAGATACATGCAGTACAAAACAGAAATACTAAGAAGATCCTGGAACCCAAATCAGTAACTCAACTTTCTGGTATTTTTCATTGGCATTATGACTGCATTACAACATGAAATATAGAGGAAAGTAACTTCAAAGTTGTAATTCTTATTTAAAACTATGCATGTTTTTGCCCATATGGAAATATTTAATCCTTCATTCCTATAACAGATATGAAGTATTTTTGGACACCTTCATTGTACTACACACTGTTTTAAACATGATATAGCAATAGATAAAAACAAAGACCCTAATATAGTTGACAAAAATATACAATAAATAAGCATAACATCAAGGAGTAATAGTGCTTTGTAGAAAATGAAAGCAAAGTAAGAATATAGAGAGTGATGCTGAGGTGGGAGATACTATTTTAGACTACGAGGGGAAACATTTAAGCACAATTAATACGTTAGCAAGCAATGACATTATAGTCCTAAGAAATTAAAGACATTTTAATTTTAACAAAGAAAAACCTTAATTCATCATAAAATGTAAAAACATTTATCTTTGGTGCTTAATGAAAAAATCGCATGTGATGCCACAACTACCTTTTTAAAAGTATGCTTTAAGAACTTCTCTAGCTATATTTTTATGATGTTTTCTCAACATAACTAATAACTAATGGACATGCCTACACCCAAGAAGTCATTTTAATAAGTAAGCTATTAATTCTCTAGGCAAAGGGACTCTAGTATGTAATCTTCTAACACAAGTCATGAGTTAGCATTCTAAAACCAGAATTTCACACATTAAAGGGAATGGATGATCTGGGAGAAAAAAATCAGTAACTTGTTTTCAAAGCAAAATTAAAATACTACTGAAGTGCTATGGGGCACCCTTACTCTAGGGGAAAAAAAACTAATATTTTAGCAATCAAATATTTTTATTTCTATAAGAAATGTAGGTTCATGAAAAAGAATATCTGTTCAAAATATGAAACAGGAAAAATTTAATCACTTAAACAGAATATAAGTAAAATACCTAGGTAGGCTACAAAAATGAAAAATTTTATATTCATTACAAATACAGTACAAAGGATAAAGGAAAAGATGTCTATAAAGAAAGAGAAAAATCAGTGCATGCTAGACACAGCAGATAGAATCTTTTGTCTTCGTTCCTTGAAACATCAATAAAATGACACTACCAATACAAGAGGCAAATAAAGACAAAAAGAGCAAGAGAAGAGACAGCAGTAATCAGGAGGACTGGCCAAGTTGTACACTGGATGGAACAGTGATAAATACTTAGGCAACAACAGAAAGAAGAAACCTAAGCCTACAGGAATGGAAATGAGTAAGAAATAAATTCATCTGTACAAAGAACCTTGCAAAGGCTCCGACCCTGGAAATATCAGGAACTTCTGAAGGTAGAAGGGAGAGTGGGCTGAATACAGAACTGACTGAAGTAAGAAACGTAATCATCCCTACTGAAGAATAGATTTATGGTATACTCTAGTAAGATGAACAACTCTGTTCTCAAAGATAACCAAGGCAAGGATGAGGCATCATGAGGAAAACACAGGGATTAAGTGAAAGTCAACACACTGATTAGTGAGACCTGTGCACTCTTCACTCAGCTCCTAGAGCAGTGGCACAAGGCTGATAATACTGTCAAGATTAGAAGGTTTCTTCTGGAACAAGTATCAGATATAAGAAACACTACCTACCAATTCAACCTATGGGAAGGCCTCACAATCAGTAAATTCTACCAACAGGAGCTTGGCATTTAGTGCTTCATTCTTAAATACAAGTGGACAACAAAAATCACCAAACATCTCTTGAAGGGCTATATGCAGAAGACAAAGAGAAAGCAAGAAAGATCTTTGAAACAGAAAATATGATGGCTGAAATTTTAATGTTAATCAGCAGACAAAATGAAGAAATTCCTATAATGTCAAACAAAATGACACAGAATGAAAATGGAAAAGTTATGAAAATAGGGCATTAATTCAACTTGGGCTTGTTTTTTTTCCAGGCAAAGCTGCCTGGTGCAGCATGGGGGAGGGGGAAGTAATTAAAGGAGAATGCCTGAAGTAGAAATAGAAACAAACCATGCTAAGAAATAGCAAAATCAGGGTAGGAACTACAGCACTACAGGTTAGGCCACCACTTGGAATGCCCAATCCCGTATCAGACAGAGTACAGTGAGTCTAGCTGCTCTACTTTGGAGTGTGCCTAGGAAAGCAGAGGATGATGTCTCAAGTACCTGAGACCCTGCCACCCATATGGGAGACCCAGATAGAGTTCCAGGCTCCTGGCCTCAGTCTGGTTCATCCCTGGCTGTTAAAGGCATCTGGGGAGTAAACCAGCAGATGGATGATATCTCTATCTCTGTCTCTCTTCTCTCTCTCTCTCTGCCTTTCAAATAAATTAATACATAAATCTTTTTCTAAAAAAAGAAACAGTAAAATCATGGGGCAGGTGTTACTCAGCAGCAGGTTAAGTCACTGCTTGGAACGCCTGCATCCCATATCACAGTGCCATCTCTCTGCCATTCATGTGGGAAACTAGGATGGGGTTCCTGGCTCTTGCCCCTGACCTGGCCCAACCCTGGATGTTACAGTCATCTGGGAAGTGAACCACTGGATTCTCTCCCTCTCTCTCTGTCACTCTGCCTTTCAAATAAAAAAAACTTAAAAAAAGAAATAGTAAAATGAAAAATTAACTTAGTTAATGTCTTTGATTTTGGTGAAAGTAAAATACGCTATGTACCGCGGAAGAACCAAGGGTTTGGACCTCTGCACCCACATGGGATGAAGTTTCTAGCGTCTGGCTTCATCCTGGCTAGCCCAGCCTTAAAGGCCATTTGGCAAGTGAACCAGTAGAAAATCTCTCTCTCTCTGTAACTATGCCATTCAAATAAAAAATAAATCTTTTTAAAAATGCTATGTAGAACAAATGAAGATGTAACATAAATAACTTTAGATTGGGAGTAAGAGAAATTGTCTTCTCAGTGCTGATATGAATCTTTCAGAAAGGGGATTTTGCAGACCACATACCTAGGAATGAAAAAAGTATGGGCAGGGGGCGGGGTTCAGCTTTTGAAAATACTGGTTAACTTAAAGTATTATTCAAAATATCTTCTGAAGTTCCTTCCAGCTCTAAATTCTTTAAGTCTAGGTCCTACCTCCTTCATGAAGCCTGTTACTACTCCAGGTACATCAGATTTCTGAAACCAAAAAATGAATGCAATTTAAATGTAGCTAGGGTGGACTAGCAAGGTCTAGATTTTAAGTATTCAATAATATATTTTCTAAGAATTAATTATATACTTCAAGACACAATTTTTAAAAATTGTATATTCCAAAAGCATTAAGTGTGAGGATTATGAGTTCTAGGGTCTCAATCCAACTCTTTCTTTAATAAATAAAGTGAGCTTGAGCAAGTATATAAACTGTGAGGCTCTATACCACATCTATGTAAGCACTCTAGGAAGATAATCTTTAAGGCCCTTTCTAACTCTAAATAGTCTATGATACTAAACAAATACATACCCAAGGAAATGAGTTATTAAATATACCTATTAAAATTGCTTTCTGACATGATGCTAGTAAAGAATAAGGGGCGTTACAAAATATACACAGGATTAAATCAGAACCGCTTACCCTTCCATTTTTACAGATATAATCAAATAGCTCTCCTCCTGAGACATATTCCATCACCATGAAAATATCAGATGGTGTACTGATGACCTGGTACCTGGTGAGAGAAAACATTATCTACTAATATTAAAACATGTATATCCATTCAATAAATATCTGCTAAGTACTTGTAATATACCAGGTATTATGCTAGAAGCTAGAAAAACTGCAGGGAACAAAATGGATTCTCTGCTCCCATGGTGTTCAAGTTCTAGGCACCAGGAAACAGATACTAAATAAATAGGCAATATCTCAGGTGGTAGAACCTGCTATAAAGAGAAATAAACTGTTTTATATGGAGGGCTCAAGGAAGGTCTCTAATAAAGTAATATTTGGGCAAAGCCTGAGGAAGTAAGGGAGCCAACAATGTCTATTTCTAGGAAAGGGAACCAGGCAGGAGTTAACAGCAAGTGCAAAGGTCCTCAGGTGGAAGCTACTTGGCATATCTGAGGAATGGTAAGGAGGCTAGAGTGGAGTAAGCTGGGAAAGAGAAATACAATGTGGAAACAAAAGTGTAACTGGAGGCCAAAGGCCACAGAGCTCTACTTGCCATGATGAAAAACTACTAAAGGTTTCTAACAGAGGAGTCCCATGGTCTGACATGTTACAAGGATAACAATGGCAGCAGTATAAAGAACTGACTGAAGAGATGGTAAAGGTGGAAGCAGAAGGCTACTGCAGTAGTCATGAGAAATTAAGATGGTTCAGACCAGTTTGATGGAAATAAAGAAACTCAGAAATAGTCAAATCCTAGATATATTTTAAAGGATAAAATGGAACAGATGGTAGGAAGTGGGAGAAATAGGGAAATTAAGGATGGTTCCTAAGTTTTTCCTCTTGGTAACTGGCTATTAATGGAGATGGTGAAAACTATGGGAAGAGCAGGTTTAAGAGGGTAACAGAGTTCAGCTTTGGCCACATAGGGTTTGAAATGCCTCACATACATCCAAATGGAGCTGTAAAATCAGCAGTGAGCTTGTGAGTCTAGAGTTTAGAAGTTTCAAAGCAGGATATACACATTTAGGGAACAGTAGCATACAGATGTTACTTAATACCATCTCAACATGAGGCCAGCGTACTGTGGCATAGCAGATAAAGCTGCCACCTGCAGTGCTGGAATTCCATATATGTGCTGGTTCAAGTCCCAGCTGCTCCACTTCCCATCCAGCTTTCTGTTATGGCCTGGGAAAGCAGTAGAAGATGGCCCAAGACCTTGGGCCCCATACCCACGAGAGACTCGAAGGAACTCCTGCTCCTGGCTTCAGATTGGCCCAGCTCCAGCCAATGCAGCCATTTGGGGAGTAAACCAGTGGACGAGAGACCTCTCTCTTTCTGCCTTTCAAATAAATTTTATATATATATATATATATATATATATATATATATATATATGCCAGCATTGTGGTGCAACAAGTTAAACAGCTGCTTACAATGCTGGCATCCTATATTGGAGTGCTTGGGTTCAAGTAACAGCTGTTCCACTTCCAAACCAGCTCCCTTTTAATGTGCCCAGGAAAGCTACAGATGATGGTCCAAGTACTTGGGCCCCTGCTCCCCAGGTCAGAGACCTGGATGGAGTTCCAGGCTCCTGGCAATGGCCTGAACCAACCCTGACTCTTGCAGCTATTTGGGCAGTAAACCAGCAGATAGAAGATTTTTTCTCTCTCTCTCTCTTACTGTTTCTTCCTATCTCTGTTGTTTTGCCTTTCAAATAAACAAATCCTTAAAAATAACATATACCTCAACAAATGAGAAGAGGTGACAGTGAAACAAATTTTGAGTCATCCAGTTCATTAGAAAAGGCTGTGAGGTTTCAAATTATAGCTTGCATAACAAAGCAGGAAGTGAATAGTAAATTTATTACCTGTAGGTGCTACAACTGGTAGCAATACAATAGAAGGGTTACTGGATTACTGCCCTTTTCAAATAATAGATTCCTATAGTTTTGTTATATGTATGATCAGATATAAATAGGATGAGGGGAAATCTTTTTCACTGCATTGTCATTAGTGAGGCTAAGTGACATTATGTGGAAATTTAGGTTGTTTTTACTAGCAAATCATTGCTGGTTCAATAGCAATAGGGGCATGGAACACTGTCAGTCAGAAGGACATCTGTCCAGAAGATGAAAGAATAAGAAGGATAATAGCTAAGAAGCACAAGGTCAAAACACAAAGACAGGCTTAACTGACCAAACAGGGTTAGAAAAAATACATGAGCAGGAAGAAACTTTGCAAAACCCTCAGGAAACAGAAATATCAGTAATATTTCTCAGAGGAAGATGAAGTAGATTAACAAAAGTGATAAAAAGATGACTGAACCATGTTTAATGTGAACAAGCTTACAATTTAATTATATGAGGATGCCTGAAAAGCTTGAGGTTCTGAATTTCTCTGCGGATTTTTCCTACCACATCCAGGCTTCGAATTTTCTGTCGATTGAGTATCTTCACGGCAACTTTATGCCCAGTCAATTCATGTTTGCCAACTGTAAGAGAAATAATTTTAATAAATATAAGGCTTGACTAATAATATATTTAGATCTATTCTAAGAGTAGTAAGGTTAGCATTCTCAGAAAATATGTGAACAGATTTAAGTTCTTTTCTCTTCTGCCCAATATTTGCCCTGCATGTTCAAATGTTTCAGAATGAATCTGAATGAAAAATACTAAGAAAACGGTAAAAGTGATCTCTTATAGAAGGGAAAGCTAGAAGGCTAAGACAAGAAAGAAAAAGAAAAGAGACTTTCTTTTTGCTGTATATATTTTTGTACTTTAAAATTACCATACATATAAATTGAACTACTAAGGGGATATACAGTTCTATAGTCTTTAACAGGTGTAGAAATTGATGTAACCACCATTATACTAGGATATACAGCAGTTCCATCATTCCAAAAAACTCCATCATGACAGACTTTAGTTTAATCCTGTTTGAAGGTACTTAATAGATGTTTGACTTGGCAAGTATAAAAACTTTAACCTTCTATTTACTCATTTGTAAAAATAAGAATACCACATACTCCATAACAGTGACTGTGATGAATACATGAAGTAGTGTTTGTAAGGCACTTTCCAGAATGCCTGCCACACAGTGAATGATCAATAAATAAATGTTAGCTACTACTAATTTTTTTAAAAGATTTATTTATTTGGAAAGCCGAGTTACAGAGAGGCAGAAGCAAAGAGAGAAGCCTTCCATCCACTGGTTCACTCCCCAAATGGCCACAACAGCTGAGGCTGGGCCGATCTGAAGCCAGTTTCTTCTTCTGGGTCTCCCACACAGGTGCAGGGACCCAAGTACTTGGGCCATCTTCCACTGCTTTCCCAGGCACATTAGCAGGAAGCTGGATCAGAAGTGGAGCAGCCAGTACTTAAACCAGTGCCAATAAGGGATGCCGGTGTCAGAGGCAGCAGCTTCACCCACTACACCACAGCACTGGCCCCTAGCTACTACTAGTTAGGGTTATTGATTTTCTGTTGTTCCTAGAACTGAATTATCTGCTTTAATATCTGAACAGCCAGTCTTATCTCAGTTCTTTGATCTGCACTCTTTTAGATTCTAAAGCATTCTTTTATGCAGACATATAAGTACTACATAAATAATACCATCATTTTCATGCATCTAGTTCCCATTCCCACAAGTTTCATTCTCACCAACCTGCTCTACCACCACCACCATTGCTGAGATTTCCAACTTCCAAAGTTCAACCAATTTCCTGACTTTAGTTAAAGTTCAACTGATTATTCTTAGGCATATGTGTATTTACTTATAGCACCACTCCCTGACAGTGACTTTATCTATTACGTAAAAACTACAAGAATACTTCTTTGATCATAGAAAAGTTAGAGGGGGAAAAAAAACACAGGTCATTTGACTTACAAATTATAATTTTTACAATATAAAATGTAGTCGATCTATAAAACATAATGTAATTAAGGTATACAGCTCACTAGTTAGTATTTCTGACATACCCAATTTGGATCCAAACATGCTCTCTCACCAGCCCTGAAGATGAGTATTAGCAACATTTTACAGGAAATTGAAGTTCAGCAAAATGATATAACTTGCCCAAAGGTACACAGCTAATGAGTGGCAAAGCCAAAATTTCAACCTAAGTCTGACTCAAAATTAGTGAAATGTGATAAATGTTTCAAGAAAGGTAGTTCTGAAGACACTGTATATTAGAATACAAATGTATACGTCCTATTAATAAAACAGAAATAAAAGTTAAACATATCAGAAGAGTTTCTAATTTATTGTCCTGTAGTTTTGAGATGAATAGGCTCAATTCCCCGAAACTAATAGAAACTGTTCTAAAAATTCTTTCTTTTTTTTAAATGAAGATTTATTTATTTGAAAGAGTTACAGAAAGGGAGAGAAAGAGATCTTCCATCTACTGGTTCACTCCCCAGATGCCTGCCAACAGCCAGGGCTCGA